GCTCCGGCTGCGGCGTCTCAGTATACCGCGAGCTGAAGCTCGCGGTATACTGAGCTTAGGGTAACGGGAGGACGCTAGTTTGTGTCCTCCCGTTACCCTAAGGAGAACTATGGGGAAAAGCCCCGGCCCTTATAGTTCTCCTTTAATCCCCTTGCATAGCCCTACAAATACCTTTTTATCCTGCCACCTTATACAGCTTCCTGTGATGGTGTGGCAATAGTGCTGCACTGTTCCTTAGTTCAAAGCAGAGTTGTCCCTCGTGTAGGCTGTGCTTGCTTGCACTGCAGTGTGAGGAGATGTTGTAGGGCATGGGGTGGGCAACTCTGGCCCTCCAGCTGTGCTTTAACTACAAATCCCATAATCCCACTGCCTCTGTTACTAAACCCCTCCCACTGTCATCTGCAGTGTCTGGGAGGGGGAGTGTGTGAGACTCACATAAAAAGGATTTGACTCAGTCAGGGATGGTAGAGGAAGTGTTTTGTTTACTTTATAAAGCTTGTGCATCACATAGTAACTGGATTTAGTACGTGTTTAGACTGTCAAACTGGAGCCTTTAGTTGTATATTAAAAGCCTTTCAATGTTGTCTATGTACATTTAAAGGAGAACTATGGGGTTAAGGCTTTTCCCCATAGTTCTCCTTATACTGGGACGCCGCAGTATACAGCGAGCTGCTGCTTGCGGTATACTGAGACGCCGCAGCTGAAGCGGATCCCGACAATTGTGCCGGGATCCACCCAGCTGCGTGACTGACAGCTGGCTCTGCCTATCTAGAGGTAGAGCCAGCTGTACCCGCCCCCTCCCCGTCCGTTCCGCCAGTCAGCGATGGAGGATCAGAGCGGGGAGGGGGGAATCCAGCCCCTCCCCTGTCACGGCAGAGAGCCGTGACAGGATCGAGAGGTGAGCGAACGCCGGTATGTGTTCGCTCACCTCCCGATCTACTGAGCCGACCTGTGACAGTCTCATTGTCACAGGTCGGCTAGAACTATGAGGTGAGTGAAAGGCACTCACCTCATAGTTCTCCTTTAATAATCTTTCCCCTCACTTCTAGGGCAAACAATACAGTAAACCTGAGTTACTTGGATGGGAACAGGCAGACAACAATAAAAACCCAACAGGTTGTATCTCTCCCCCTCGTTGTTGGGTTTTTGTTGCTGTCGTTATCCCCATTGGGAAGATTCGGCCAAACATTCTGTCCATGTGACACCCTGTCATATGGAAATGGGAGTATGGGAAACAACAGCAGTAAGAGACCTTCAAAAGCTTCCCAGATACATCCAAACAGGTTTGGGTAGGAATTCTACTTTAATGAGGATAAGAATATAAATGTTAGAAATATACTGTATGTTCTATCAGAATAAATATTAGATATGGATGCATTGGTTGTGCTTCCAATACAACATAATGGTACTTATGACAAAACCACATAAGCAGCTCCTGGAAATGACTTGAAAATGTGACCATATCTGTTTTGACAAATTTTCTTTTTTTTAACCTTTGGCTAGTAGAAGCTGTGTCAGGGTTTTATTGCTATGTAATATCCCCTTCGCACACCGTACTGATGTACCCAGAATCCACTGGAACAACTGGCGGATGGTGCCACAGTATACAATCTAGAAGATATGTTGTCTGCACACCATTCTGCTTCAGAATATCATTTTTATTCATATTGTTTTAGTATGACATGTGAATGCAACGTTACGGAGCCTCATAGGGCCACTTCGTCGACACTTTTGCCTGACGAAGGGGCCCTGTGAGGCTCCGAAACGTTTGATTCACATGTCATGCTAAAGGAATATGAATAAAAATGATATTCCGAAGCAGAATGGTGTGCGGACAACATATCTTCTAGGGTTTTATTGCTGGTCTTTGCTGGGGAGAGTCTCCAATCGGGGACACCTGTTCACGTCCCATCTGTCTAAGTGGGAATTTCTCTAAACTTACTTTTGTGTTACAGGGACAGGAAATATCACCAACGAAATATAGGCAGCAAAAAAAAACCTGAAAGGAATTTTCACAATTTCCTACTCTATCTCAAAATATACAGGGTTATTCAGTAAAGCTCTCAGGGGGGCTGTACGGCTCTCAGGGGGGCTGTGCGGCTCTCAGGGGGGCTGTGCGGCTCTCTTCAGTGAAGTGAACAATCTAGGACAAGTCTGCCCTTAGACCCGAATACTGACGATTTCTTTTCCAAAAACACTTCATGCGACTGTCTGAACTAATTATGAATTAATAAATCTTAGAAGAAAAATAAAATACAATACAAGAGGTTTTAACTACACTACAGAGTAAAATGTACCTTTTGTACTGTGCTAATGAGTGAAGTGTTCCATTGCAGTGTGCTACTAAGGTACATGTCATGCAGCACACTGCAAGGGAACAGTCTCTCTACAGCTTGAAGTCAGTGGTGGAGCACCAGGGCCCAGTTGCAGCTGTGACCGCTGTGACCCCGGTAGTTCTGCCACTGACTCCAACCTGTAAAGAAACTAATCTCAGCAATACATTGTATAACAATGCAGAATACTGCCAACTATAGGGGGCTTCATATCCCAGCAGTACAATATATAGCAATGCAGAATACCACCTACTATAGAAGACTATATATCCCAGCAATACAGTATACAATACAACAATGTAGAATAACACCAACTATAGAGGACAACAAATCCCAGCAATACATTATACAGCAATGCATAATAAGACCATAAGCTATAGTGGGCTGCAAATCCCAGCAATACATTTAACAGCAATGCAGAATAATATAGGGCTGCATACTGTGTGTTGGGGGC